ATCAAGCTCTACGGATACTGCGTTGCTTCCTATATGTGCAGACCTGTGATGAAATTTACTTTACAAATTAGGCACAGTAAGAGATTAACAACAACTAATAACAAAATAGAATAATTATAACAGTATATTATAATAAAAGTTATCTGAAAGTGGTCTCTATTTCTCTCAAAATATCTTATTGTACTGTACTCACCCTTCTTGTGATGCTGACAGATGATACAATCCCTAAGTGATGAGATGAAGTGAGGTGAATGGCATAGGCACTGTGATGTACTCTTAGGCTTCTATTATTAACCTCAACTACGCACTTATCACTCACTATAGCCACAAACCGCTCACTCCCTTGGTTCCTTCAGGTCTTTCTTTAGTCACCTCCTCAGGGAGGCCCTCCCTGACTACCTATTTCAAATGATAATCTCTGCTACCCTCTAACCTATCCCTACTTTATTGCTGTCCAACAATCCAGATGTTTTATTTCTATATGTATTTGTTGTCTGTTTCCCCTCACTAGAGTGTCAGCTCCATAAGGCATGGGATTTTGTCCCTTTTATTCCCTGTTGTATTCCCAGTGCCTAGCATCCTGCCCATGACTGTTTGTTGAATGAATAAACAATCTCATCCTAACACATTTACTTCTTTTGTCACTAAACTCCATTCTTTTTGAACAGAGGGCTTCACTAAATCAATCCTCTTTCTGACAGTGATTCTAGAACTTGTTTGAGGTTATAAGTCCTGGCTAATTATCACAAGGTAGATGTCGTTTCCTGTTTCCACCATGCCCTCCTTCCAGCTCTGAGGAGCCCCTGTTCCAGCCTGGGCGAAGCCACTTTTCATTATCTCGATCAAGGTTGCCACCTGTCCCCTCAACCCTTCAGTCCCTCCAAGCTTTCTTGCCCAGACATATAGGGAGAAGCTTCCCTAAATGGAGAAGCCGATTTTTGCTTTTTTTTTTTTTAGGCGAGGCAATCCTTGGTTGACCTCATAGATTGCAAGGACCTTGTCAGCTTACAATCCCTTATTTTATTTATTTATTTTTTACGCCTACAGCACCTGGTCTTCCTAGGTGGTCTCCCATCCAAGTACTAACCATGCCCGACCCTGCTTAGCTTCCAAGATCAGAGAGGATTAGGCTTGTTCAGGGTGGCATGGCCATAGGCCTATTTTTACTTTGAGCCTGATCTTCTCTTCACCTTTTTATAATCTGGGATAAAAAAATCTCTTCTTTCCTGTCACCCCCCAGTAGGTAGGGTCTCTCTAACAGCGAAGCACAGCGTTAAGCTTACCCACGGTTTTCACCGAAAATGACACACAGCCTTTCTACAGCAGAGCTTGTCGGGAGGGATCTTAATTGTAGAGCGTTTCACGCCAAAATACAACCATATTTTTCATGAATCAGTTGAAGCAACTCCATGGAAACGCCAGTGGGTGTGGGAAGGAAAAGCTCTCCTTTATAAAATGATCTTTTGCCAGATCCTACTGATGCCATTTACTTGTTTGCTCCTGGGCCAGTCCTTTAGAAAAAGTGATGTTCTGAGTGAGCCAGGATCTTGGCCTCGAGTGCTGGGGGTCCAACAGGAGCGCTTCTGAAAGGGCGGCTCCCCTCGGCCAGGCCTCCCACCGGTGACCCAGGGGCTGCTGGGAGCACAGGAGCCTGGGAACACCCAGAAGGGGCGGAGAGGGATGCATGACAGCACAGCTCTGATGCTGTAGGCCTCGCGGGGGTCGGGACGTCAAAATCCAGCCCCGCCCTTGCTACTGAGTGATCTGCGGCGCGTTAACGTCTTCTCTAACTCCAGTTCTCTGTAAGTGGTCAGAATAGCGCCTGCCTCGTGCAGTGACTGTAGCGTAAACGAGGTGGCTACGCCCGGCGCGGTCAGTACTGCTACTCCAGTTAGTTCATCATGGGTACTAAACACTGACCACAGGCCCTTCCTGTCATAGAAAACACTCATGAGTGAAGAAGCACGCAACACTCAAACGGACACCTGAAAATGACATAAATTCCACTGCATAACCGAAAGGGTACCCTTCCCTGTTACACTGCTTTAAAAAGAAATAATTTCTATGTATTTAATAAAAAATAGATATTTATATAGTAATTAATACGTAGATTTATTATTATTATTTTTTAAGACCGGCTAGTTCCCCCCAGCCCTCCAAAGCATTGCTCGGGCAGGAGCGGGGGTGGGCGTGGACTCGGGTCAGGTGTGGCCAGTTCCCTGGGCCCGCCACGCTAACCACAGGTGAGTCATTTGGTCTGATTCAAGTTGGTGGGGTCGGAACAACGATCCTGGATGCCAGCGTGGAAAGCTACCTCCCAGGGCGGGATCCTAGAGAGCGCTTCTTACAGAGAGGATGGGAGCGTGGCCGGTAGGAAAAGGGATGTCCTGGCAGCAGGATGCGTTCCCTTTGGGTTTATTTCTACGTTTCTACACGTGGGCCCGAGGCGAGGAGCGGAGGTGGGGGAGGGGTGGCTGGGGCTGAGCCTGTGGCATCTTTAGCGTCTTTAGCGGGTGGTCGCCCTGAGACTGTTTTCAAAGGGAATTCTTCGAAATGAGGCTCGGATTTGGGGGTGGGGGTGGGGTGTGGATAAAGGTGAAAGAAACATTAAGTACATTTGGAAAATTGTTTTCATTTGGGTGTGACCCCTAGTCCATCTTTTTTTTTTTTTTTTAAAAAAGGATGGCAATTGTGTATTCCTTGTATAATTAAAAAAGAATGTTAAAAATGAAAAAAAAATCAACTCCGTGGAAGACTTTGATGATGGTTGGAGGGACGCCATATCGCTTGTTGACTCTGAGCACTGACGTGAACCACTAATCTAGCGCTTAGCATCAGCTTCCTCATCCATTTTGGCTGTGTTGGGTGTTTTTACGTAGATGGTGATTGTTATTGGGGGGCGGACCCTCCCTAGAAAGGGCGGGGTGGGGCCGGAGCAACTACTCCCCAGGAGTTGCCATAGAATGCTCTGTGGAGAATCTCAAGCTTTCTTTAATGATTTTTCTTTTTTAAGTGGCTAACATTTATACAGTACTCCTTATTTACAAAGCCTTTTTATTTACATTTTTGCATCCGGCCCTCACAGCAACACAATGAAGGTTAGTTTCGTTACTGCTCGTGTGTGACCTGTTAGTGAACTGAAGCTCAGAGAGGCTGTGGCTTGCCAGAGATCGTCACACAGCCCGTCAGAGGCAGAGCGCAACTCTCTGAGTTCCTTGTGGGGTGGATGGGGATGCGGCTTCTGTGTTTTCAAGCCTCGTTACAGATTAAGTCATCTTAAATGGTTTCTAACAGGGAAATGCCTGTGTATTTTTAGGAAGAATGGCTATTGTCATCTCTTTTTTATAGGCTAATTAAGTAAGGCCCCCGGGGTCATACAGGTGTGAGTGGCCGAACATAACTCCTTGGACTCTTTACTCTCTGCTCCAAGTGTTGCTCCCAAAATTTGTGCTCACGATGAGCGGGGGGTGGTGTGTGTGTGTGTGTGTGTGTGTGTGTAAGTAATGGTCTCACCGGAAATAAATGAAAGAGCTACATTAATTATCTGCCCCCAGGACAACAACCAATCATTTCACAGCTCAGCTCAGAGAACTGGCAGGTTCCTAATCTCGGACTTAAAAGTGAGGGAATAAAATCCCAAATAAGTGCAGTGGCTTTTGCTCCCCTCCCGGTTTCAGATCCGTTTGCTCTGTGCACCTCGTTCCACATGGGCATTCCTCCACTCCCTGACACTCTCCTTGAGAACTGAGAGGCTTCTCCTTGGGCCACCGTGCCAGTCTTCATCCTATTTTGGATCTCTAGAAACACCTATGAGCCTGACTTCTTTTTCCAGTTCTGTCCGCGAGAGACCTCAGTTGACTTTAGGAGGCAGACAGAAAGGTTTCAGTTCAGACCGGCACACAGTGGGTAGCACTATTGGTCCCTCACTAAACAGTGATAAACTAACTCACTGGCTGGAGGCGCTGTTGGTGTCTGCCAGCTGAAGCCAGTCCTGGGGCATAGAGAAAAGATGGCATTCTAGCTCCGAGGAACTACGTCGGAGGGAAGGGCAGTCAGGCATGAGGGACTGGACCACACTGGGCTCCTTCCCTTCTGAGGTGAACTGGCCGGCTGGTGGGAGCAGCAGGCCGGCCGACACGAGAATGACTAAGGATGACCCTCCCTCACCTGCCACTGGGCCAGCTCTACCCAGCTGGAAAGATGTGTCCACTCCTGGTTAGGAAGCAGTGTTGAGACCCCAAACCGAGCAGCCCAGGCCCAGAGCCTCTTGTCAGGCTCCGCAGGTAGCACCCCGGCACCCACAGCCCCATCGTGTTGGCATCAGACCTGGGCACCTGCTCTCCACATGCCCCGCCCAGCTGCAGCTGCCTGGGGTGGGGCGGGGGGAACTTAAGGAAGTGTGTCCACAGTCTCTGAAGCAAAGATGACTCGCTCTGGTGTGTCAGAGGGATGCTCTCTGTGCTTCCCACCTTGACCAAGTTTTGATTTTTTTCAGCATCATTTTCCCCATCACCTTTTAACACCTTCTAACATGTCAAGCATAAAGCAATCGGCAGAGACCAGATAGAAGGAGGACGTGGTTCTTCTAATTTCCTTCCCCCACTCCATACCCCCTAAATTCCTAATTGTATTTAAGGATGAATGATGAACATCAAACAAATAAATAAAAAGCAACTCACCTCTGCCCCACCTGTGGGACACAGTCGCTTGAGCATCATAACACAACAGCAGAAGCAGCAGCGTCTTCCAACACATCTTTTCCTCCACCAAGGTGAGAAGTTGCCCTCCAACCCAACAGGACCCCAGGAGCTACAGGTATGCCGGTACCGGTCCTCCCAGTGAGACAGTACAGTTCTTACCACCCTTCCCTCTTCGTAGGAGCAGATGCCCTCTCCTGCCTCAGAAGGTGGAGGCAGAAGTTGCCTCCGGGGGGCACAGGAGTGGGGACCTCTGATTCCGATTCTCTCTGGGATTGGGGGACTGGGCTTCCACAGAGAGACTCTGTTTTTGAGCACATCTGGAGTGACTCACGGGGCATGTGATCTCCTTGGCAGTGGGGTGGAGAAATATAATTTCTGTACTTGAGTTCCATGTGTTGGATGCACCCACTGGAATTTTTCTTTAACAAACAGACTCGTGGAACTTGTTAGAGAGCCCAGCAAAGGGCTGGCTGCTGTCCCTGTCCACACACACATACCAGAGCCAGGGCGAGGGCTGCAGGAAGGGCTGGGAGGCTTCCCTCGCAGACGGGGCTGACTGAGCCCAAAGTTGCCTTCAGGACAGCAAAATCATTGTAGTGTCTGGGCTGAATCTCACATCCTATCCCAGAGCTAGACCTCGCAATATTGGTGCCTACAGCCAGTTCAGAGCCTTCCCCAGGGTCTGCAAGGGTGGGGAGTTGGCAGGCCGTGAAGATCAGATGTGGAGATGTGCCATAGTGTGTATGTGTTGTGCGTGTAGGGGATGCCAGGGACCCAGAGGTGACCCTCCCTCTTCATTCACATTCATGACACCCTGCTTTCTGGTCTGTGTCTAGACCTGGGATCAAATACTTTGAATCTCCCAAGCAAATTGGTAGTGTTTTTCTGTGATAATTTGTTTGTTTTGGTATTTAATCAATCAATTATTTAATTATTTTTTATTGAGGTATAATAGACATATAACGTTGTGCAAGTTTAAAGTATACAAAGTGTTGATATTGCAATATGATTACCACTGTAGCATTAGCTAATACTTCTATCACATGACATAATTATTATTTTGTTTTTGCGGTGAAAACATTTAAGATCCATGAACATTTTAAAAGCACTGCCATAGACACCTTGATTTTGTCCAGTAGCACTGCCTTAGCTTCTCTGAAATGACAGACGTGTAATGCTTAAGCTTGAAAAACCCTCACAGATGGTTTAACCCTGTGGGTTTCCAACTTGTGGGTGTGTCTAGGGTGAACGTGCCACTCAGAGGTGACTTTAAGGATGTCCTCTGCTTCAATCAGAACCTCTTTTATCTGTTACAAGAAGTTGCTTAAAAGAAAAGTTGACTATAAAATCTGACCGTTGACCTCACTAATATTAATAATAGCGAATGAATGGTAATTTGTTCCAGGCACCGTGCTCCATGCTGTCCTTGTATTAATTGATTTAATACTCACGCCAAGCTATGAGATCTGTATAGAACAGCACTCTCCAACAGAACTATAATGTCACAATGTAATTTAAAATTTTCCAGTAGCCACACTTAAAAAAGTAAAAAGGAACAGGTAAATTAATTGTAATAATATATTTTACTTAACCCAATATATCCAAAATATTAGTTGATATGTAGTCAATATAAGTATTAATGAGATAGTTTCTATTTTTTTTATACCAAGTTTTTCAAATCCGACGTGGATTTCATACTAACAGCACATTTTAATTCAGAGCAGCCACATTTCGAGTACTCCATGGCCACATGTGGCCAGCGGCTGCCGTGCTGGACAGTGCAGGGCTGGAAGGCTAGAGGGCTCTGGGGGCAGACTGCCTGTTTTTGTATCCTGGCTTGCTATGGGATGTCGGCAGAATTCCTGAATCTCTTTTTGCCTTAATTTTCCTCATTTACAGAATGGGGATAACAACAGTCCCTTCTTCGTAAGATTGTTGTGAGGAATCAACGAATTAATATGAATAAGGTGCTAAGGCTGTATCTGGCACCTACACGTGTGTGCTACATACACGTGAAGAAATAGATTCAGAAGGGTTAAAATCTGCCCGAGGTGCCCCCGTAGTGAGTGATGGAGCTGGGGTTTTAACCGAGGTCGATGTGATTCTGTAGCCTGACTCAAAGCATTGCATTTGGGAGCCGTGTAGCGGAGTGCTGTTAACCAGTTCTGGAGGGGTGGAGAAGCCCTGATTTCTAGCACTTGCCAATATCCTGTGGAAAATACTCCCACTATGGCTGATTTCAGGCTACCGATGGCTTAACAAACGACCTGTAAAATTTCTGAATACTTAATAATCGGCTCTCTGGAAGCCCAGATGAGCTGGGTCCAGCACTTCGCTCCTCTGACTCACGAGGTCAGTTCTACTGGCTCTGATGACTTCTCTGCATCTGCTCTATTGTTCTCATTTTGCACTTTCCTTAAAAAAATTATCTTTAAAAAAATTATTCTTATTTTTCCAGTTTTGTTGAGATATAACTTACATAGAACACAGGTGTACCACATAATGATTTGGTATATGTATACACTACAAAATGATCACCACAATAAGTTTAGTTAACATCCATCACCTCACATAGTTACACATTTTTTTCCTTGTGATCAGAACTTTTAAGATCTACTCTCTTAGCAACTTTCAAATATACAGTATGGTATCATTAACTATAATCTTCATGCTGTACATTAAATACCCAGGGTTTATTTATCTTATAACTGGAAGTTTGTGTCTTTTGACCATCTTCACCCATTTCCCCCATCTTCCGCCCCTGGCAACCAACAATCCGTTCTGTTTCTGTGAGTTTGGATATTTTTGGATTCTACATGTAAGTAAGATCATACAGTATTTGCCTTTCTCTGTCTGACTTATTTCATTTAACATAATGTCCTCCAGGTCCATCCATGTTGTGGCAAATGGCAATATTTCCTTTTTTATGGCTAAATAATATTCCAGTGTATGGATGTATGTATGTATGTATGTATGTATCACATCTTCTTTATCCTTTCATCTGTTGATGGACACTTAGGTTGTTTCCATGTCTTGGCTATTGTAAATAATGCTGCAGTGAACATGGGAGTAAAGGTGTTTCTTTGGGACAGTGATTTTGATTATTTTGGATATATACCCAGAAGGTGAATTGCTGGGTCATATGGTAGTTCTAGTCTTAATCTTTAGAGGAACCTCCATACTGTTTTCCATAGTAGATGCACCAATTTACATTTCTGCCAACAGGATTCCCTTTTCTCCAGATCCTCGTCAACACTTGTTATCTCTTGTCTTTTCGATGGTAGTCATTCTAAGAGATGTGAGGTGATATCTTATCGTGGTTTTGATTTAATTTCTCTGGTGATTACTGATGTTGAGCATCTTTTCATATACCTATTGGCCATTTGTATGTCTTAGAAAAATGTCTATTCAGTTTCTTGCTTATTTTTAAATCAGATTGTTTGCATTTTCACTATTAAGTCACATGAGTTCTTCATATATTTTGGATATGAATCCCTTATCAGATATGATTTGCCAATATTTTCTCCCATTCTGATTGCCTTTTGTTCTGCTGAGGGTTTCCTTTGCTGTACATTGTACTTCCTTTTTAAATCTGCAAGGGTTGCCCAAAGGACCTGGCATGTGACCGGGTTCCCTGTCGTTGCCCATTGAAAGTCGTTGATGGGTGCTGAAGCTGAGCCCGCTCCGCTCCCCCGGTCTTTCGCCAGCACTCTCATGAGTGAGGAAGAAGCCGACAGGGGAAGATGGACATGCTTTCCCAGCCATGGGGAAACCAGGACCAGAAATCATAGTTTTGGCCTCCAGTCCTGGGTTGTTTCATCTGCAGGCTCAAAGCATCAAACTGTCACCTACTAGTTACTAAGCTGGGATGAGGATTGGCTTCTGGATTTGGCCTGGGAACAAATGTGTTTGTAACTAATTTCATTTCATAAGATGATAAGCCAGGCCTTCTCTCCCACTACTGCAACTTGGCAGCCAGAAGCAAATGTCTACGGTTTCTCACGAAGCCTGATTGAAGTTTTGGGAAACTCTGGCCTGGTGCATGTATATACATATATTTTTTCCCCCTGTCTCTCTGTTTTTCTTGTTTTTTTTTTTTTTCCTGCAATTCTGTACACTCTGTCTGGTACAGTCTGGCAAGCAAATGGAAAGTACCACTTTTTGTAACAAATCACAGCAAAACCACAACTGTGGAGCTTCCAGATCTGTTAATTATGTAAAGAATATTTTTTGGGGGGGGGGATGTGCTACTTATGGCAACACTTTTCAAGTTCATTTTCACCTCTAAACACCCACCATGCCTACCTGTATATCTCTTGTCATCGCCAATTATTTTCCAGCTTAGTCATATCTACTCTTTACTGAGTTCTGACCACACATCTGATTTTATTTCATTCAGTTTCCACAGTAGTTTTGTTCAGAAGGTACAATAACAGACGCCATTTTACATATGGCAACTGGAAGCTGAGAAAGGATAAATAACTACTAAATGGTAAACACTTCTGTATACTGAGATGAAAACAGAACACCAATAAAGCAGTAGAGGGTGTGTTAGATCGGCCCCATGCAATAGCAATAGGTGTGGGGAGAAGATTCTGTTCATTCCGAGGGCTCCAGCACAGAAGTGATATAATCAATACCCATTTGTTTGTCCTTTGCTCATTCGTTCATCAATTTTTGAGCATCTTCTCTGTGCCAGGCAATAGATAAATTAAGCCAAATAATACACAGTCCGCACCATCAAGAATCTTCATTTTAATGGGGGAACTAGATACCTCCACAGATATTTAGAACGCGTGATGCTACGTTTAATGATGGGGGATCTTATGGTAGAAAACGAGAGAGGCAGAGTATCAGGGAAGGCTTCTTGGAGGTGTTGACACCTGAATTAAGTTTTTAGGGATGAGTCGGATTTAATCGTTGGAGAAGGTATGGTGAAGGATGGGAAAACCTGAAACCTGTACCCTGCTGGGAGTAGGGAGTCATGGAGAGTTGCCATCAGGGGAGTGAGCCGGTTAGCTTTCTGGTGGCTGGGTTGTTGAGAGTGGATTTGAC